CAGCCAGTGAGTGGTGGGGATGGTCCATACTCCCCTCAGCCCCTCTCTCAGGGCTGAGCCACAGTGCATCCAGGCAGGACCCCATGTAGCCGTCGGCACCAGCTGCTTGGCACTGAACAGGAGGGGGCTTGGCTGCCCACACCCCAGTCATGGCTCCATCTCACCTCGGTTCTTTGTAGCCACATAAAAATGGAGGCACCAGCCTCTGCCAGACCCTTCCTCTGAGCACCGGTGCCACTGCATGTGGCAAGCCGGAGTCTGCCAGCATGTGTCGAGCTGAGGCCAAGCCAGTGGCCCCCTCCTCAGCCAATACAGCTGCACTCGGCTGCTGAGAGCTTCTCCACTGTCTGCCATGTGTTCTCCACATCCATGAAGGAGACAGCCTCATAGCGGGTGGGTCGGCAGCAGGGGTGGCTGAGGATCCGCTCCTGTGGCCCCGGGGTGATGAGCTGCTGCCGCAGCAGGCTGCCCAGTGTCAGGTCATAGTTGCTGCGTGCCCGGTGGCAGGACCCACTGCAGTACTTGAAGAGCACGATCTCGTCCGAGTTGAAGCCCAGGCCCAGGTCGCGCACCTTCACCATCAGGTTGCGGATGTGGCAGTTGCGCCCGCGGGTGCCCCGTGAGGGTGTCCGTGCCCTCTTCTTGGCTTTGCCAGCGCCCGGCGGTGAGCGCTCAGCGCGCAGCAGCAGGTCCTCCGCCAACTCTGCGGCGCCTGGACCACCCGTCGTCGCATTTTCCCCTGTACACGGAGGAGACAGCACCATCAGTACCCATCCCACACCCATCGCCCTCCTGGGCCTGCTGAGCCTGCCTGCCCCCGCTGTGACCTACGGACCCCTCCTGACCACCCACCATGACACTGGCTGGGTGCCCAAGAGGCAATGGGGTGAGTCGGTGCCCAGCCAAGGATTTTCTCATCTCTAGGGCTATGCCGCCATCCCCAGCACACAGCACAGAGCCCCCTTCAGCCCACCCCGAAGTGCAGCCCCAGCCCCASAAGGCTGGGGATCCCCACAGCAGCTCCCAACCTGGCCATGCCCCATGTGCAGGGCTACTGTGC